ATTCATGTTTTACATTGGAGTTGAACCAAATTCAACTCCAGCGTCAATATGACGTCAGGACTAGTACATGTATCATATTGTAAACCTTCCTTAAGTGGTGAGCTTAAGCTAACAAGACATAATGTGTGTACATATACATGTGCATGTACATTTATTTGTGTTTTTAGAACTGGGAGTGTCTTAAACAAGGAGCAATACCTAATGATGGACTGTGGCCTAAGGAGAGATGTGCTCATGCCAGTACTATTATCAATGGTGTCTCTACCTCACCTACGCTAGTAGTGATTGGTGGAGGGGATAATAGTAATCAACCAGTGAAGGATTGTTTGTTATTAGACACAAACCAGTACAATTGGATGAAGGTATTAATACATTACACTGACATTATATTACATACATAGTGCATAGTTGCCAACCGTCCCGGAATGTCCGGGACAGTCCCGGATTTACTGCTGTTCTCCCGAAAGGGTCCCGGATTGCTCTCTGTCCCGGATCAGCCATTTTTACAGTCACACCCATACAAAATTGACCACTCCCAGTAATAAAAATTCAATTATTACCAATTATAATCATAGCTGCATGAACACTGAACTCAAAAGTTAAAATTAAGCTCAAAAATGAACTCAAATTGCTACTCAGGAACTGCTGCAGAAATGTAAGAAGTGATCATCATTAATCCTAGTGGGTGTGGTTCCAAGGGTGTGGCTTTCTGTCCCAGAATTCAGTGACAGAAAGTTGGCAACTATGATAGTGTATAGTAGGGTGGGTGAAATTTTTGGTTAAGATTTTGCAAATTGAACAAAATTGTAATTTTATTTGTATAGACCCTTTAGTGAGAAGGATTATGATTAATTTTGTGTTATACCTGTCAGTTATAGTGTCCACACATGTACATGTACAATAATTAGTTGCCATTTTTATGAGTTTAGAACAGTGTTTATGAAGCCTTTTGTCCAGTCAAGTAGTTGACTGAGTTCAGCACAACAGCATCTTTTGGTGATTATGCTTGTCAGCCATTGGATAATTACATAACGTTTTAATATTTTTTCTCTATAGTATTATAGTCTGTCCAGGTTGACTTCAGATCTTATTATTTATGCATGATTGTGGTTATTATAGAGCTCAGATGTTAAGTGGATCCAAAGTGGGCGCTAAGTGGTCCAAGCAGCCACAAAAAATTTTGCATCATAAGCAAAATTTTGTATAATTAATAAAAAGACAGTCATAAGCTTCTTTTGCTTTGGACTTCTTGGACACAGAATGAATATAGTTATAAACATTCAGAATGATTTCCTAAGTCTGGCTAGTCAGTCTCTTTCCTTGTTTTGCACTCTTCTTCCTACACTCGCCATTTTAAAAAATCACGCCCATTGTAATGGTGAAGGTGTGGTCTCTCCCAGAAATAGCAAAATGGAGGACAGGCTCAAGTGTTAAGTGGCTGCTAAATAAACTGATGGCGAGCGGCAACCATTTGATGTTTGGTATAATCTTGGTTTTCCATGTGTCCTTCTTCTATTTCACTTCATATTATACCAGCCAAGGCGCATCAGTTAAATAACTGTGCTGCAACAAAATCTTTAAGTTTGCAACTGTGCTGCCCGAGTTATTCAAATTCTTTTTGTCCTGAAGTCAACCCGGACAGACTATAGTAGTTTTCACCAAAAGGGATTCATTAGTTTTTGTATTTGTGGATTGGTTTTAGAAATATTATCAAGCAGTGATTCAAATCAGCCATTTTGCAAATGACCAGTGCAAATTTCAGTCATATACCCCATTATCAACCACTAGTGTTATTCTCTTTCAGTCTACGTTGTAAATCTTGTTACATGTATATCTTTACATTCTCTATTCCTTAGATTCCTCTACCTGATACTGTTACTGGTAGATATACTCATACTGTATCATCTTTTGTTCTTGATCCTAATCATGTGTTCCTGATAATAGTGGGAGGTGTTGTAAAGGCTGAACAGAAACATGTAGGGGGAGTAATGATATCGATTGGTACACCTGTTACTGATCCTAATATCACAATAGTAGTTGAACTAGGTAATATTAATTATTGATTTATGTATAATTTTATAAAATAAATATTTTACATGTATTGCTGTTGGTGAGGAGATAATTGGTAGTTCCATGAAAAAATAGCTAATACCTTAAGCCTACTATTTTTAGCGTCTACTAAATTTAGCGATATTAGCGAGAGAGCTTTAAATCGCTAAATTAAATAGATGCCAAAATAATTATTATTCATTATAATGGTTATTATGTATAGTTAATTTGGTTAAAAACGCTAAAATTAGTAACGCTAAACATGACTTTTGCTGATTTCGCTAAAATTAGTAGATGCAAATAATAGTAGGCTTAAGGTATAAAATCCACCATTTTGTTTCAATCTGAGCATGCTTTATGATAATTATGACATTATGTGGCACTATGTGCATCCGTGTGCATCTTAATTTTTGAGGTGTGTTAAATTTTGTTATTTTCGTGCTCACCTTAAATCCACGAAATTTAAACCACCTCTAATGCCATTCAATTGTATGTAGACTATGGCCAGAACACGAAAATTAGCTCACACTAATATTAACTTTTGAGCAAATTTCATTGAAAACACGAAATTTTGGACCCTCGAAAATTTGAACGTATACGGTATGAACTACATGTATTACTACAGACAATTTAAATTACATGGGTAGATTTATGATTGAGGCAGCATACAATCAATATCATTTTGTGCTAGTTAGATTTTGAAGTGCATCAAACAATGTGTTGCCTTTTGCTGTGCTCAACTTTTGTGATGATGTGGGTGGGGTAATTAGTAGGTGTGGTCAATTAAGTGGATTTTTTTACAAGAGTAAGCCTCCTTTGTGGTTTCTGATTGGTTTCATCACATACAAATTTTTTAAATTACATGTACTGTATGTTTTTGTCCTTTTCTCTCCCTCACTCAATCACTAACTTATTTTATTCCTTCCTTTTCCTTCTCCCTCCCTCTCTCCCTCAGTTTTTAATGATGGTCAATGGTCAGTGGGTCCAGTATTAGATTCATTTAATATTCCTTTATTGTATGAACTAATACTAAAAGAAAGAAGAAAGGAATTGATTGGAATGAATGAATACATGACAGATAAAGAGAAGGAGCTTCAAGTTATCAATGAGTTTTTACGTCATGATCTACAAGTGTCTAGAATTAACAACCAATCACTTCAGGAAGCACTTCTGGAGACTCAATCACTATCAAGTATGTGTACATGTATATTTAAATGCATAAATGTATGTACATGCATGCAACTGGAATGGCATGTACATGTAACTTTATATTTAAGGTAGAAGCTCCCATTGCCTTCATTAACTGAGTGAAACAGTCGTGTAGTTAATAAATGCCATAGAAACTGATACCAATGTATTTATATTGTATGAACATGTACGTGTATACTTTGAAACAAATAGCAACTACTGAAAAATGAATTGTACAATACATTTTTATAATATACATGTACATGTACATGTAGTTTAATTTTTACTGATGTTTTATTATAACGACACAATTTGATTGGTCAATTCAAACTGCATGT